ACGAAATAGTCAGAAGTGCGTCTTTCCTGTATTTGTGAATTCTCCAAAAAGTCACTGGAATGGACATTTTCGTATTGTGTCTACAAAAGTTGGCAAACTATTTCACACATTGAATATTTTTGGATGGCCATCCAAAACTGCTTGGCTTTTGCAATGCCCGGTATCCCCCATTCAAATGTGCGTGCGGATCGGGCAATAATTACGACCTGCTGACAATTTTGCAGTTTTTTGGTCCATTTCAACCAATATATGGCGATCATCTCCAGAAAGAGAAGGCTTCTATTCTGATCCTCATCTTATCCCCATACAAAATTTCGTAAGGATCGGGCCATAAATGCGATCTCTATATGATATCCTGATATCCCAACTACTTAGTTTTGTTAGCTGTAGAAATATTACAAAATGTTTAATTCAAAATGAAAATATGCCAAAAATATGACAAAATTGAAAAAATATGAGAAAATTTTACAAAATCAATATTTTCATCTTTAGAGAGATATTTTATGCGATTTTTTAGACATTTTTTCTTTCCTGCCAAGAGGCCATTCTGAATTAATGAGAACTGTCGAAATCAGTTCAGCCGTTCTCGACATATAAGAGATCTTTCAAGCATATCTTCTTTGATAGACATATAAATCGCACATATTTTGCTATATGTCCGATTTGTTGGATGTTAACATCAATGTAAAGGTCAGAAGTAACCTTGTCATGGCTTCGTGACTTCGCCGGAATTTAAAATATTCGCGGTTTAATGAAAAATGTTGAATTTTTTCAACACAAAATATATGGTCTATTTTACCCGCTAAATATTATCCGATGACCACCCTAATTGGTAGGCTTCTTCCCCGCCCTAAATTCTAGCTACATGCGAAATTCCGCGTCGATTGGTCTATAATTGCGACCTGTATAGCTACTGCAAAATCCTATATTTTTTCAGTATTTGGTGCATTTCGACCCCTAAATATTATGCGATCATCTCCAAAAGGGTTCTATTCTGACCCTAGCCCCACCTCCATTTTAAATTTCGTGAAGATCGGACCATAATTACGACCTGTAGAGTGATTACAAATTAACATGGACAGACGAATCAAACTTATAATACCCCCAACACATAGTGTAGGGTATAAAAACAGTAAAGAAAGGTCAAAAATCGGGGGGTTCCGACTTTATGATACCCTACACCACTATATATATTCAGTATAGCTCCCGTAACAAATAAGTTTATATTGGGAATTTATGTGAAGTAGATAAAAATATATGAATATAAAAAAAAAAATTTACTTTGGGTTGTAATATCAACCAAGTATATGGTGAGCAATAACCGTAAAATCGGATGAAGATGAATATCGAAGCTAAATAAAATCTGAACCGATCTCGATAAAATTTGACAGAGGTATTTTCGAGCAGTATCTGATGCCCTGTATCAAATATTATTGTTGTGTAGTGCATATTTCGCATGTGAGGGACTTAACACCAAATCGTATAAAACATATGTAACTTTCGAAAAGCCCTAAATGGTACTAAATTTAGTATAGGGTCAATTGATAAAGCTTAAATCCTCACATTTACTGTAGATTTCACTGTCAGTTTCTGTTAAGATATGAAGGGGGATTTGTAACTGCGTCCTATCAATTGGGTATAGGATGAAGGGATAGAGCTGGAATATCGCAATTTGATATTGAAGTCTCTGTTAATATCTGTAGTTGAGATATGGTTTTAGAAATGTGTACCATAATGGTACGAAAAATACTAAATAGTACTATGTTTGGTATTGGGTGAAGGAAAAGATCAGGAATCCCAAAATTTGATATTAAGGTCTCTGTTGGTATCTTTGATTGACATACGGAGGTGGAATTGCTAATGTATATACTATAAAGGATAGAGCAGGAAACGGGATCGCAGAAAGTCAAAATATTCTACAAAAAATCTTCACTAATAAACACACGTTGTTTTTATAAAAACAACAGTAAAGGGATTAAGCCTGACCATTTTGCAAAAAAAAAAAAAAAATTAAATTATAGGTCCTAGAAATCATCTAAAATCTCAATTTTTAATGATGAAAAACCTGCAGCCAACTCAAGACTACTGTCATTCCTAAGCCACTCTCTCTGTTAAAATTATTCCAGTGACAGCTCATTATATTGTTTACAAGCGTACAAAAGCATTTTGGTCAGAATTTTCCAGAAAAAAAGTTATTCGTGATGGAATTCAATCTGATAGTGTGATTTATTTATATTTGGCTGGAAAACCACAAGTGGCTATCGTTAGAGCACTCCAGAATTTAAATGTGAATAAATATTTTGTGTCTCGTATCAATGCTCGTTACCGTGATATTGGTAGCGTAGCCCGACGCCAAGGAAGCGGACGGAAGAAAACAGCAACATCAGCAGAAATGGTTCGAAAAGTAAAGAAGCGACTTGATCGAAACCCAAGTCACAGTGGCCGAAAAATGGCTCGTGAGCCGAACATATCGCAATATTCCATTCAGCAAGTATTGAAAAATGAGCTCGGGGTAAAGCCAATGAAATTCTAAAAAGTGCAAGAACTTACACCGCAACAGAAAGAAAATAGACTCTTTGGCCAAAGAGTTGCTTCGCTTGGCCGAAAGTGGTGAACTGCCGAATTTGGTTTTCTCCGATGAGATAACATTCGTTGTCCAGCAGTCTGTAAACAAACAAAATGATCGTGTTTACTTGCCAAAGAGGTTAGCTGAAAATTTGCACCTTCGGTTGGCCACCAGAACTCAAGCGCCGGCCATGGTAATGATGTGGGCCGCCATAACAGCCGATGGTAGCTCTCCGTTCGTATTTATCTACAGTGGGATCAGAATAAATGCCGAATGTTATCGCGAAAATATTCTGGAGGGTGTATTAAAGCCTTGGGCACGCAAAAATTTTGGCCGCAGACTTTGGGCAATCCAACAGGACTCAATACCATCGCACTCAGCACGCCCCACCCAAGAATGGTCACAAAATGAAGTTCCTCGCTTCATTTCCAGAGCACAATTGCCACCAAAATCTCCGAATACCTATCCGTTGGACTATTGTGTCTGGAGTATTTTGAAAAGCAAGTTTGGCACTAAAAAATACCAAAGTGTCGATCACCTCAAGCAATCGCTTCGCCGGAAATGAGCCAAAATACCGCCGAGCAACATTTGGGCAGCGTGTTACGGTTTCATTGGCCGTTTGAAGGTCATAATTCATGCCATAGGTAACCAATTCGAACAAATCTAAACTTATTCCGAATTTTTATGCTATTTCCGACATTTGTTTCTTTCATTCAATAAAATTTAAAAAAAAAATGTAAAAATTATGGCGTTTGACTTTGTCATATCTGTAATTTGAAGATAATCGGACACTTACTTTACATTTTATAAGAGTTAGAAAATTATTCTGATCTATTAAAAACTTATTCTGATCTATTATTAGGATTTTCAAAATTGGATGAAAATCATTATCCTTTCTCTTCTGCGCAGTAGATTATATTTCTTTTTTAAATTCCGACATATTGGGGGTAGGTACCAAAAGAAGAGGGCCATATTACCCATCTCCGAACTCGATCAAAGTTTGATAATTGGAGCAATAGATATACCGGACCGAGTTTAACCAAACGGAAAAAATTCGGTTGAATACGAAATAAAATCAATTCAATTTGGGCGGATATTACATATATAGCAAGCAATAAGCGCAAAATCGGATGAAGATGTATATCGAACCTACATTAAAATCTGGACCGATCTCAATAAAATTTAGCAGGGGTATTTTCGAGCTGTATCTGATGTATCAAATGATATACATTTGAAAGACTTCAACACTAAATTGGATGAACTATATATATGAACCTATTTTAGCCAAAATTTGAAGTACTAGCTTCTGGGCTGAATTTCATCGGAATTGCCAAAATTTAGTCCATTTGGGCTGATATTGGTCATTTGGTGCACAATAAACCTGAAATTGGATAAATATATATGTATGGGAGCTATATCCAAATCTGAACCGACACAAATAAAATTTTGGACACTTATTTCAGAGCTTTATCTGATATCTGGTGTTAAAGATCATTGTTGTGAAGTGTTATTACGAAAGTGAGGGATTAAACATCCATTCGGGCTAATATTAGCCATTTGGTGCACAATAAAATTGAAATCGGATAAATATATATATGGGAGTTACATCCAATTCTGAACTGATCTCGATAAAATTTGGCAGACGTATCAAAATTCAGGTCATTTGGACCGATAATGGCAATTTGCTGCACAACTAACCCCAAATCGGAGGAAGATATATGTTGTAGCTATATCTAAATTTGAATCGATTCTCACCAATTTCCATAGGGTTAGTCCTTGGGCCAAACTAATATTGTTTGGAAAATTTCATCTCAATCGGATAATGAATGCGATCTGCATTTTCTTCACAAAAATACATGATCAGACGGACGGACTGACAACATAAATCGACTCAAAAATTATTCTGTGAAGAGCCTCAAAGGTAACTATGGGTCTATCTCTCTTCCTTTTCCATGTTACCAACAAATTCACAGACATGATATCCTTAGGTAGGGGCAGGGTATAAAAATATTTTCTCTACTTTCCTATTGAGACCTTCCATTTTATGATGCAATGAATAACAAACGTTTTTTTATTTCACGCGCCATTGGCAACATTGTTAATCCAGTCCAAAAGAAATATTCTCATGAGTACTGTTTGTTTACAAAACACAGATAGAGTGCACACAAATGCCGCAGTTCGCCTGCACTAATACCGTAATGTGGGCGAGGGTGTGTGAGAGCATATGGCAAAACGATCGATCGCTGGTGAATAATATCAGCTGTTTGGGTGCCTGCTCTCAGAGAAGAAGCGAAACATATTCAGAGAGAGAGGGTAAAAATACAAAATGTTTATTTTCATTACACACGAGTAAGAACAAGAAGAGGCCAACGTATCTGAGAGTGTGGCGTATCTTGATTGTTGTGCTCACCGCACGTTTAGAGTTCGTTCAGTCAGTTTGTTGTGCCTTCCACTGGATACGAGCATAATGAAAATTGACTTTAGCAACGCTAAGCCTTACTAGAGCCAATTCAGTAATCAAACATAAACGCTAGTGAAGTGGTTGGTCGCCGCTTACATGTTATTCCGCGTCGTCCAACCGAAACGAAACTCAAAAAGAAAATACCCCGAAAAGTGAAACAAAAACCCCGGCACGTTTCCTTGGCACATTGGTTGTGTGAATTTCGTTTTTATTATTTTTTCTTTTGATTTTCGTCGAAAGAAAAAAGAGACTCAAAACAAAAATATCAACACAACCTACAACACCCAATAATACCGCCACTCCAGTAGTATTTGTTTGGTTGGTGGAAAATTCAAAACGCGTTAAACGATAACAACGGTGGCAAATTTAAAGTCCCTGTGTGATTTTCTGCAAAACAACGGCGGTTGAATGAACGGCGGGATTAGTTCGTAATTTAGTTACAACAACGACAGCCGGTGCGTGTTAGTAGAAAAGAAGCAGCAAAAAAATAGAATAAAATTATAAAGCAATAAATTTCGATAGTGTTGAGTGAGTGCGTGTAAACGACAGAGAACGAACGAGCGAACGGCGGCGTGTGTGTCAGTCTCAATTCGTGTTAAGGGTGTGCTCATTCATTTAATTCAATTTCCATTTAAAAATACAAAATTCATTCAATAATTCATGTTTTTTTTTTCGAAAATTAGCCATTTAAGAAAGCCCAATAGTGGATATTGAATAGCCACAAAAGCAAAGCAAAATAAAGAATAAAAATTTGCCTACATTTGCTAATTCAGTGATAGTTTGTTCTTGGCATGGTCCCCGTGTTGTGATAGTTTCTCGGCGTGGTTCCAATTTGACAGGGCGCATGTGCGTTACACATCATCGACGAAAGCAAAGCAAATCATCTAACAACACTAGAAGTGCAGGGCTGAAGTGGTCAACAATAAAAAAGTGCATTTCAAAACAAAATCTGATCCAAGATTCCAAAGCCTCTTTTTTTTTGCATTTTGCATACAAAAAGAAAGTGATAAAAAAGAAAAAATTAATAAAATAATTGCTTAGCTTAAGTAAAACGCATTTAAATCACACAAAAGGAGCAAGATATTCATGCATTCATTCATTCGTTTATAAAGAAAATTAATTTCTTTGTTCTACCATTTTCGTCACAAAGGCCAACGGTTTATTTTTTAAACAAACAAAGCAACAAATCATCATCAACGCCAACCATCTTCATACGAATCAATCTGCGTGTTTTCCATTTTGTTGTTGAATACAAAAAACCACCGTCAAGTGTCTTAAAAAGTCTCACAAAGAAAAAGCTAAAAAAATTTAATTCCAGTGTTTAAAATTCAAGAGAAAAATTACACCCAATTATTCTCCAAAATTTTATTTGTTTTATTTAAATAAAATCTCAAAATTGCCACCAAAATGTCGTCAACTGTCGCCCTGGTATTGCTGTTCTTATTACAAAGTGTTTTGATTCACTCAAAACCTCTTATGGAATATTCAGCCAGACATATGAAACATCAAACTAAATCTGAATCAGCTGTTACGGAAGATAATCTGGTAAGTAGTTGCTGTGTAAGACAGTAGTGATGGTGAATTCAAAATACAGTGGAACCCATAAAAATGGAATAACGGCATATTATTTAAGTAATGTTCTAAGGACACTGAAATAATTTAATGATTGCTTAGCATTGCATCATAAATGCAGAAAATATTTATAGATATCTATAAATATACTATAAATAAATTACAATTTTCAATTTCATAAATTACAGTTTTCAATGTTAACGTGATTTTGGAAATATATTACTTGTATAAATATTCGAATGAGTAATATCACTCTCTTGAAAATATCGACATGGATAAATACCGATTGATATTTTTTTCAAAAGACTGCAGATTTGGAGCTATTTTCAAAAAAAAAAAAAAAAAAAAAAAAAAAAGAATGTCTTAAATGTAAAGAAGGTCTTATGATACTCTACACCCCTTTGCATATTTAGTAGAACTTCACATAACAAAAAAGTTTTTTGGAATTATGATTATAGTTTGTCCAACGGACCTAATATATGAGAGGAATAACCTCCTTTGAATCCATTTCTACTAAATATGCCCGTGCATTTGAACCTTTTCAATTCAGGCTTATATTACCCATTTGGTGCATAATTAACTTGAAATCGGATAAAGATATATATGGGAGCAATATCCAAATTTGAATTGATATCGATAAAATTTAGCAAAAATATTTCTGAGTTGTATTTGATATATTTTCCCAAATATCGTTGTTACAGAGTGCATATTGCGGCTGGGGAAGTCAAAAAGAACAAATCGGATGAAAAATGTATATGGGAGCTATAGCTATATATTAACCGAATCAAATCAAATTTGGCATACTTATTTACAGGTCTAATCTGATCGTATGTGGAAAATGTCATACTATTTGGACTGATATTACACATTTGTGGCACAATAAAAAGAAAATCTGACGAAGATTTATATGGAAGCTATATCTAAATTTTAGCCGATTATCACAAATTCCAATAGGGTTTAGTCCTTGGGTCAAGCAAATGAGTAAAATTTCATCTGGATCGGGCTATAAATGCGACCTGTACTTTGTTTGCAAAAATACGTGGACAGATAGTCAGAATGTGATTCTATACAGATCATCAGAAGGGGTGCGCCAATATCTATCATCTTTACACCGGATCTTGTGTTAGTAGAGATATTGGGATGTGTGAAATTTGAAGAGTATCGTATGTTTACTTCGCATTTGTAAGCGTTTTGGATATTCAAAAATTTGACCCTTTGTTGCGGAGGTTCCAAAAGGAATGGACCAATAGATTCCATATTCACACCAGGCCTTGTGTTAGTAGATATATTAGGATGTGCGAAATTTGAATAGAATATAGCGCTTTTTTAAAATTTTGAGCCGGTATGGAAGAGGTACCAGAAGGTATATGCCAAATTCTCACCGGATTATGTGTCGATTAAAATATTGGGATGTGTGAAATTTAAAAAGAGAATCGGAAGAATATAGTGTTTGTTTTTTAATTTTCAACCGGTATGGAAGAGGTACCAGAAGGTATATGCCAACTTGTCGACGGATTATGTGTTGATTAAAATATTGGGATGTGTGATATTTAAAAAGAGAATCGGAATCTAATTTCTCGTTTTTTGAGTTTCAGTGTTATTTGAAATTTTGACCCCTTTGTGGGGGAAGCACCAGAAGGAGTGGACCGACAGATCCCATCTTTACATCTGATTACGTGTTGATAGAAATATTGAGATATTTGGAATTTTGAATACAATCGGATGCTTATTTCGCAAATTAATAGATGCATAATTTGTCAACATTTTGTCCATTTGTGGGGGAGGTACCGGAAGGAGTAGACCGATTAATAAAAATATATACCGATTAATAAAAATATTATGATGTGTATAATTTGAAGACAATCGGACTGTTACATGATATTTTAGATGACTTATAAATATTCGCAATTTTGACCCTTTATGGGGATGGTACTTAGTGGAGTGGACAGATATTGTCCATTTTCGCACCTGACCTAGCACTGATGCAAATATTAGGATTTGCAAAGTTGAAGCAAAATCGGATGATAATAATTCTCTTTCTAAGCAGTAAAATATTTTTTTTTAATCTCAACCTTTTGTGGTGGCGGTGAAAGAAGGATTGTGCTGATATTTCCCATCTCCGAACTCGATCTAAGCTTGATAATAACATTACGATGTACCAAATTTGTACCAAATCGGATACTCTCTTCGACAGTTATCGTGCGCACCAGCCAGAGAGACAGACGGTCGAACGGAGATCGCTAGATCGACTCCAAATGTTCTGAAACGGATTTGGTCCAAATGCACCTAGGGTCTAAGCTCGTGATTTCGATGAGGCAAAACAAATTTCGTCTTCTATATCAATTCGTTCAGATATTATCAGCCCAAATTAGATAGATGTTTCACCTTCAACAGAATTTTTTAAATTTGGTCTAAACTGGCTCTAAACTTTTTTGTCACGGGAGCTCTGGTAGATATGCATAGTGGTGTAAGGTATCATATAGTCGGTCCGCCCTGTTTTTTTATTAAAAACAATATTTATTACGAAAAATGTATAATTTATTATTTTTATTATTTTCCTCTTGAAATTCCTCTAGAACTACTGAGGTCCAAAATTACTGCCCGATATTCTTAATATTTCTCACACCTCAGTTTGTTGAACATACTACATCAATTATACACTCTTCCCGGCATTGTCTCGACAAAGAGCTACAATTCTTAAAAATCATTATTTACATATGTACACCGAGCGGCGACCACGGTTTAGATCTAATTTTGCAAATCGCAATAAGCGAACTAGAGTCGAACATCTTACCCCATCCCTATTCGGTTCTGTGCCCCGAATTATCTAGCCATCATGAAATTAATTCTGACTTGTTTCTCTGAACGATGATGCAAAAAACTTAGTCAATGAATACTAACGGTAATCGAAAACCAAGAAAATATATATGTATTTTTAATCTTTAGAATTACCATTCATGGTTTTTTGTGCGGTTAGCATTTGCAATAACAGCAACTGTCAGTGGTTAAATTGTATTATTTTCAGGGTCAAAGAGATTTCATCTAAAATACCACGTGTATTTAATCCAGGCGTCAATGAAGCTGCACATCCAAATTGGAACTAATGTCTATACAATTTATGATGTCTTTATATTCTGTATCTGAAAGCTATCACCAAATATTGATGATGCGGGGGTGGAGGACTTAATACAAAATTAGATGAAACATACAGGTTGAGATGAAAAAACTGCAACGTACTTCAGACTTCTGTCATTGCTAAGCCACTCGTCCGACAGCTGTTAAACTTAGTCCAGTCACAGCTCATTATAATATTTACAAGCGTACAAAAGCATTTTGGTGAGAATTTTTCTAGAAAAAAAGTTATTCGCAATGGAATTCAAGTGTGATTGAGTGATTTCTTTATATTTGGCTGGAAAACCACAAGTGGCTATCGATAGAGCACTTCAGCATTTAAATGTGAATAAATCTTTCGTGTCTCGTACCATCGCTCGTTACCGTGATACTGGTAGCTTAGCCCGACGTCAAGGAAGTGGACGGAGGAAAACAGCAACATCAGCAGAAATGGTTCGAAAAGTAAATAAGCGACTTGAACGAAACCCGCGTCGCAGTGGCCGAAAAATGGCTCGTGAGCTGAACATATCGCAATATTCCATTTGGCAAATATTGAAAAATGAGCCATCGAAATTCCAAAAACTGCAAGAACTTACACTGCAAAATAGACTCAAAAGAGCTAAAGAGTTGCTTCGCTTGGCCGAAAGTGGTGAACTGCCGAATTTGGTTTTCTCCGATGAGAAATCATTCGTTGTGCAGCAGTTTGTAAGCAAACAATTTGACAGTGTTTACTTGCCAAAGAGGTCAGCTTAAAATGTGCACCTTCGTTTGGCCACCAGAACTCAAGCGCCGGCCATGGTGATGGTATGGGCCGCCATAACAGTAGATGGTCGCTCTCGGCTCGTATTCATCGACCGATCAAAATAGATGCCGAATATTATCCCGAAAATATTCTGGAAGGTGTATTAAAGCATTGGACATGCAAACATTTTGGCCACAGACCTTGTATATTCAGCACCATCGCACTCATCACGCGCCATCCAAGAATGGTTACAAAATAAGGTTCCTTGCTTCATTTCCAGCGCACAAAGACCACCAAAATCTCCCGATACCAATCCGTTGGACTATTGTGTCTGGAGTATTTTGGAAAGCAAGGTTGGCACTTAAAAATACCAAAGTTTCGATCACTTCAAGCAAACGCTTCGACGGGCCAAAATACCGCAGAGCAACATTCGAGCAGCATGTGGCGGTTTCATTGGCCATAATTCGTGCGAAAGGTGACCAATTGGAACAAATCTAAACTTATTCTAAAATTTCATGCTATTTCCGACATTTTTTGCTTTCATTAAAGAACGTTTAGAAAAAAATGTAAAAATTATGGCGTTTGACTTTGTTGCAGTTTTCTTTATCTCTCCCTGTATTGTACTTGTTTCTAGACTAAATTCGGTCGGATGTGCCAAATTTAGGTCATTTGGACTGATATTGGTCATTTGGTGCACAATAAACGTTATATCGGTCGAAGATATAAATAGGAGCTATATCTAAATTTGTACCGATTCTCATCAATTTCCATAGGGTTTGTCCTTGAACCAAACAAACATTGTTTGGAAAATTTCATCTCAATCGGATGTTAAATGCGACCTGCATTTTTTCACAAGAACACATGGACCGACGGACGGACGGGCAGACAGACTGACATTCATAAATCGACTCAGAAAGTGATTCTATGCTTCCTTCTCCATGTTACAAACAAATGCACAAAGACATTATACCCTGGCCACTATGTGGTCATTTTCTGGCTATTAAGAAAGAATTGGTCTGTCAAAGAAACAAAGTTATGCCCAACACGCTGATAGGCAATACTCGTTTATCGATCTTAAAACTACCAGCTATTGTTACTTAATGTTCCTTAACCCCTATCA